CCCAACACAGTTCATCTTTATTAAAAGAAAAGCCCCTCAACATGAAAAGGACAACCAAAACCTGTTAAAGTCTTGACTCCGATAATATCATTTTCCCCACTTCCAACAGTGACAAACTCTCACCCAAACAATGACTTCTTGCCAACAAACCTCAAACCAAAGGCAGAGCAACAGGATCCCCTTTGACCTTCATGGTCCTCACATAGTAGTCTATCAAAGCTTGGCAAAGCTAGAAAACCTCGATTGGGAAAAGATGGAGCACGCTGGCACACAGTGCTGACTAATCACATATACGCCACAACTCCTATACCACATCTCCCAGGCAACACCACACTAGTATCATACTACCCAGATATTTCCCCATAAGCATACTACAACTCCGACAACCACTTCCTAGCAATCCTACAGTATCTCATGCACATCATAGACAAATGGCACTTCTCTCCCCAGCCACCAACGTCATTGATTTATTACCAGCACTTGGCAAGTACTCCTATCACCCTCAGCATGACAAGCTCAATTTACCTTCGAGAATAGTTTTGTTCAATTGTTCTATGTGTCAAGTCTGCATGAAACTACGAGGCATGGAAACTTGCCATCTATGGCTAGGGAAATTGGAGGCCAAATAGTACCAAGCAAGCATCATAGAGGACAAAAGACCTCTCACCTTGGTGGTGGGCAGAGATGGACCGACAAAGGGGCTGGTAGGGGCAGTGTCAACCCAAACCAAAAAACTAATTAAATATTATAATATGGCCCATGTCCACGTTCATGCTCATGCTTCTTAGCCAACAGTGATGGTAACTCAAAAAAAAGCATGCCGCACTGAGCATCGTTGCCCTAGCTCCTTATGGTACCCTCTATACATTGTTTACCCATTTTTAAAGCTCTACCTTCTTCGGCAACGACAAACCCGTTCTGCCAAACCTACCCACTTGACAATTCCATATGAAAGACATTGTACACTTACAAGATCCCTCATCCACCTTTACTCATATTCTGTCCTCTGCTACCCTTTCTTTACCCTCCCAAGAAGATTTTTGGCAGCCCGTCCTTCAACTTCTAACCTCCCCATTGAACTCCTTGAGCATTTCCCCCACCACAAGCCAACCACCTCCACCTACATCTCTGGATTCTTAAGCAAACTCTACCTCCCTTTCTCAATAAATGGCCACTTCCAAATATTTCCCTAACATTACTGACAAGGCTTCGGCAAATGATGCATCTGTCGTCCATTACAGGCCACCAGAATGTCCGGAACATTGACCCATCTACAGCTCCCTGTGAGACATCACACATCATCTAGTACAACCATCACAACTCAACCTGTGTTATCTTTATAAAGCAGCTTGCTTGACTATTGTTGTCTTCGAGAACATAGATGGTATTCCCCTGGTCTTTGAAGATACTCTGTCTTACCGCGGAAATACAGTACATTACTATATTTTTACGTCATCTGTTAATAAGCACTCACCATTAGTGCTGCTTCTAAGAGCTCATTTTTTTCTTTCATTTTTGAGGTTTATTTATTTAATTTCCCATCCACCACACATGGCATTTTCCAGCAAATCTTACACCTTCTTCCTCCTTTAATAGCAATGGTAATATTTAAACAAGCAAAAATGGAAAACATTTAGTAGTGGAAGTTATATTACCTGTTTAAGCTGAAATTCTGTAATGTTGAAGTGTAAATTTCCCACATACAGTTTTCTATCAACTGCACCATAGGATCCCACAACTGAACCACCACCAGAAGCATTAGTTTGAACAAGGTTCTTTTCAGCTTCTGATGGTTTAACCATTACAGGTAGTCCGAAAAGTAGGTGGCCAGAGAGAGCTATAGCCATTGGCACAGACATTGCAATCATAAAATTCAATATACCTGTAGTATCACCCAAGGACTCACAATAAGTTTGCCAGAACATATGAGACAAAAATACAATTATAACTTACAAAGCATGTATCTACAAAAGGAAGGAAATCAAAAACTCTTTAAAGTGCATATCTGCCGAGCTGAATTTCTTCTCTCGTATCTAAACCTCACAGAACACAACATGTCAGCTAATCATGATAAAATACAAATTGAGATAATCAAACATGTCAGTGATTCACAAAAAAAAAAATAAAAAATTAAGAGACTCAGACAGCATAGAAGGACAAAAACCAAGGGTTACAGCTACCCAAAAAAATCACATTAGGTCAATAAAATAAGGTAACTTTGTCAGGCCAGATTAATAAGTCCGCAAAGCATGATAGCAGTTAACATTTTTGTACAAATTTCCGTCGTAATGGTCTGGAAGAATTTAAGGACATGACCTCCAGAGTTGGGATATAGAAGCATGCAAAAGACCAAGTACTACCTTCTAACCACATAGGCAAATTAAAGAGTTCAACCAACTTCTTTATCAATCAACCAAAAAGGTAAAATCAACTTAAATCAACTAAACTAGATAAATTCCTAGGGAGTTTTTTCTCCAACCAGGAAAGGATTATATCAATCAACATAATCTGCCTAGATAAACATGATCTGGGCTTGTAACATAAAGAAGCAGCAAACTTAATCGTGAATTGTGGAGAAACCACCTCAGGGCAAACAACCAATTGACAGCTCTATATATCTTCCAACTCCCACAAGCAATATTGATGCCAGAACAAAGACAGATCAATGATCAAGACGCTCACAAGAATTGTGCCATATTTATTCTTAAACAATAATTGCCATGCCACCAAATAAACTCAACTGGATCTAATGTGAAATTCCAGTGCAGAGTTAGAACAACTATAAATTGCAGGAATCGAACAAGGAGAACACAAATACTGTTTGCTTTTGTCATTGGATGAAAACAGTAGTGGTATACAGTGGGAAAAGAAAAGAAAAGAAAGGGGAAACTTAGGTTCATGTCATCTACCTTGAGAACGCAGCATGAATTGTTTAAACATGAGTGCAAGGTAATGCCACCATTTATCATGGATTCATTATCGAAATGCTAGTGAATTTAAGAATAAAGTTATGTTTAATTTTTAAAAAGAATCAACAGTTACTTTCTGACAACACTGCACATAAATAAGATACTTTTTAGCAGAAACACACTTACCCAACTTCTTTTGAACTTCTTGAATTCCAGTCCATGATTAGACGAACATCCCTCACCTGGATATGAAACGGTGAATGATGTAACTAGAAAAAAGAAACTTGCAACAAACACAGATAATACATGTCATTCTGGACAATCGTCTATAACAACACCTACAAGGGGGTGTTTCATGAGATCAACAGTTTTAACTTGTTTGTACATTTTCACTCACTCCACATACACAGAATGTTGACACAAGAAAGAAATTATATTACTCGTAACGGAACGCAGAGGAGCATTTACTGCAACAGGGAAAAGATGTATCATAATGACATGTATTAATGTTCAAAGCAATGTCTCAAGTAACAAGAACATGAATTGATCCTATACATGTGCGGCAATGAAATATCCAAAGCATCACATGGCTTGCATTAGAAAATACATGGAGCACAATGCCTACTATAGCATACAATAGTGTAAAAATAGATCGTTCAGCATACAATAGTCTCAGATTGGTAATTGATGGTGTGTTTGACAAATAATTACTTGTCTTCCAGAGTTTTGGGCAGCACGGAAGGGAGCTCATTACATCTAAGCTTGCATTAAGGATGCTCTCCATCTTGAGTGGAGAGCAATTTCTACCCAACATGGATCCAATTTCTTTAACAACATGCTTGAGAGGCTTGTGATAAAGGTAGCCTTTAATCTTTTGGCTAGATCCTTCCTTGCTCGCTTTAACCTCTCTTTTTTTTTGTAATAAAATGTAGTGTACATGATTATAGATATGGATGTCTATATCAGTAAACAAGTGTTATATGTATAATTCACATTCAATATAGTGCCTACTCTTGAGTCCAATGTGAGCTTACTCATGAAATCTATAAACATGCACGCAACTTTAAACTGATGGGACTGGCTTTTTTATTTTTTGATCTTCTTAAATAATTTTTTTTTGTTTCTTTTTGCAGATGCTATCCTTTTGAGTACATGATGATATCTTCGCATATCGATAGTGGAGCTTACTGTTGATACTAAAACAAGCTATAATATATATATATATATATATATATGTTTTTTTATTTGTACTGGCGATATTTTTGTTTTGTTTTAGATACAAATTTGAGTTCTTGAATTATCAAATTTAGTATTGTTGGAGGATGTTTTACATATGTTTTGTAAGGAATGTTTGGTTGACACTGTATTGTTACATGGTACATATATATATATATATTATTTGTATATGATTTTGTGAATGTGAATGTGTGTGGATGTGGATGTATTTTATTTTACAAAATATTAATAATTTGCATAGGGAATGAATTAATAAAATATACATTTATTTTATAAAAACAACTATTTTGCGACAATAATAAACTGTCGCTAATGTTATCATCATTTTCTTTCATTGTATTAGCGACGGGTAACCTGTCGCATATACATATTAGTGCCATCTTTAGCGACGGTTTAAATTGTTGCGAATACATTATTGATTTAATTCTCTCTTCTTCTTTTTTCTTTTTTTTTTTTGCGACGTTTAAGACCGTCGCAAGGAATACTTTTCATGACGTCAACTACCATCTCTAAAAAAGTTTTTGGTGACGGCATCCTAAACTGTCGCTAAAAGTGGTATTTTTTTCGCTTTTTTGCGTCCGGTTAAACCGTTGCAAAAATCATTGATTAATCGTCGCTACAACGAAACGACGGTTTGTAACCGTTACAAATACCTTTTGTCACGTCACCTTCCGCCACCCCCATTTCCTGTCGCTACTCCGTCGCAAAAAGTCTTTTACGACGATATGTTGACCTTTTGCGACGTTTGAGACCGTCGCAAAAGGTCCGTTTTTTAGTAGTGAAAGAACAATTTTAACATTCCATGGATCAATCCAATTAAAGGAAAATAAAACATAGACTAGTTTCAACAGTTAAACAATTAATTCAATCAAAGAATTATTACATTTCATTAAAGCCCTTCTGAACAAGCTAACTGCGAAGTTACTCGGGTCAATCCAACAACCTATTGTTCTTAATCAAATCTTCTACAATGCTATGCTATATTCTTGATAACGAAAAATGATAAAGCAAAATGCCTCACAATGTTCTAGAACGTGGAACCCCTTTTACAACATGAAAAATCTAGAAATCCCTTAGATATTGATTTGTGATTATGTATCAATTTTAAGCAGTATATAACAATTCCAATCAAACAATCAAGATAAATCGACACAACGATTTTACGTGGAAAAACCACAATTGGACACCTCCAATTGTGATAAAAAAACCACGGGCAACAGCCACAAAACAATCCATTAAGAAGATATAAAGGAATTACACAGGTATACTCTCAATTACCTAGTGAATCCATGCCCGAATTGAACCAACCTCTATATGTCTCTTCCACCCCCATCTTCACCTCGGAATTGTCTTGACGATGAGCTACTCCGGAATCCACCAAAGCTTCAGGCTCGAATTCTTCAGAATCCACCGAAGAACAACTCTCTCTTTTGTGTAGAACAAATAAATAATCCTTTGATGTATACTCTTTAAACCATGAGTTGAATACTCAATCAGCTCGATCCCCGTCGTAATCAGCGAAGTGGCAATCTTGAAAGAATTAACATCACAAACTTCTCTGCAAGGCATAATTCGGGTTGGATTCGCATCTAGACACTCATAGCCTCACTGAAATAAAAAGTGCAAAAACAAATACAACTTAAAGGAGTTTGGTCAAATGGGGTTGCCAAGAATAAAAACCTAACACTACATTTTCTGAAGTAAGACCAAACGTTTCAGTTCAAATATGTAAACAAAAAAATAAAAAAATAAAAATACAAACAAAAACAAACTAAGAGGATGGTAGCCTTGCAAAATATGGAGTTCAAATCACACTGGTGCTAATTGAAGCAATGACAATGCAAACCACAAGGACCAAACAGTTTTTTGGAGAGTAGCATTTTTCAATTGTACTATGATTGATGCCTATATGAACATTATCATGTCCTCCCTGTATCATAATAATCAATGACAATGCAACCAATGCAGCTTCCTACAAATGGCAACTAACAACTAAGGACATTACAAATTGTATATGAATGAAACTACATATAAAATTATTACCAGTTTAGCAAAAACCCTAAAAGTAAAATTATGGTTCCTAGATACTACATTAATTAATTAATGTTAACCCTATCGACAAAAATAGTATAAAGTTTTTACCAATTTTGGCAAAAACGCTAGAGTACTTGACCAAAAACTAATTTGTAGTTTGACTAACTCTTGTTCAAAATTCTGAGATAATCCAGAGGACTAGAGTGCCTAACCAAAAACATCTTTTTCTTCTTCTTTTTTTTTTTTGGCGTGTAAGTGTGCAATTGCACAATATTTAATTGTTTTCCCTTTAATCCACGAAGCACCCTCATAAACCAATCTAGCCACTATCTGACATAATACAAAGGGAATAGCAAAACCTATAAGAAGACTCAAAGGGAGGGAAAACTCTGAAAAAATTGCCATGTTTTCCTGCTAAGTCTACCATTTTTAAAACACTTACCACAAGTGCACGAGTCTATTCCCATAAATACATCTCTTAATTATCCTTCATAAAATTAGTAAGATAATCAAGTACTCTAAAACCTCCAACATTCTAACTTTTGCTAAATTTGAATTTTGATGCAAAAGGTGAGTCCCATCCTTAACTAAAAGTTGTGATCTTAACGAATCAATTCCCAAAACCTTGACTCTGAAATAGCCATGAACCTATCATTCAAGAACCACTACTTCCTTAGAAAATTTATTTGTAACAGACATCCCTCATTCATACCTCTTCATTTTATTGGAAACCCATCAAACCCATTTCATAAAAACCCATCTATATAGTTAGACAAAAAAATTCATAGAATCATTTAATAGAAAGTGACCCATTTCATTTCATAGAAATCCATTTCAAAACCATTTCGCATAAATCAAAACTATTTTACAAGAGTCATCATGCCTATTATTTGAAGAGTGCTCCAGGAGAAAGGCCATGCTAGTACCTTTAATAAAAAAAAAGGCCACTATACAAAACAAAATGACAAAACACAGCTTCACATACACGTGCCTAACTGCGAATTCCTCAAATTTGGTTTTCGCATGAGTCACATAATTGGTGTTTTGTTTTGGTTTAAAACTGGCAAGTGGCTGCTAATTTAAGGTTATGTTCATAGTATATGTCACAATTAAACAATGTTACGTAGAATCTAAATTATTATTTTTTAAGAACCATCTAAGTACGAGTGTAGGTTTCTTTCATAATGTTGATCATCAAAATCTACTTACTATTTTGTTCCTTATATTTTCTTGAGAATATGTTGCACTCAATCAAACATTATTATTTTTTAAGAACCATCTAAGTACGAGTGTAGGTTTCTTTCATAATGTTGATCATCAAAATCTACTTACTATTTTGTTGCTTATATTTTCTTGAGAATATGTTGCACTCAATCAAA